AATCGGTTTGATGTAACTAGAGGGAAATTGATGTTTTAGCGCCCCTCTTCGGCCAGCTTCCGATTTTAATATCCAATTGTGATACGTGTAATGTATTTTGATACGAAAATGACTCCCGGTAGATTCCTGTCGGCGGCAGTATTGAGTCATAATCTACTAAAAATTAAAGTGTTCAATTTCAAGTCCGGAGAGAGTTTTTTTTTTGTGTGCGATAGCACTTTTTCTTTTATTTTTATCTCATTTGTTTTTAACAAGTCCCTTAAGGAGGTTTACCATAATGATTTGCTGCAAATAAAAACAAATGGGCTAGTTCCGAATTGATATATTTGCAAACTTTAAACACACACACAGCTGCTGGGTACCTAATCACGAAACCCCCCACCGATTTCCATCACCACAAGCAAGGTAAAAATAACTAAAAGAACATTAAGTATAGCGTCTTTCACGTCACAGTCCTTTGTCAAGTCGCTTCACAATAAAACGCCCCAGTCCTGGTTCTGGAGGGGCGGCGTGTCGGGTTTCCCATGTCTCGTTACAGCACCAGAAGCCGAAGAGCCGGGAGAAGCTGAGAAATGCGTCTAATTAAGCCAATAACGAGCTTATTCAGGTCACTGCGATCCCGTGGACAAGGACTGGGAGACCCCTGATCTAGTGCTACCCTAAATCCATCTCCTGACCTTCAGGTCAAACGATAAGCCGAGCTCACCGCTTTAAAGAGCGATCACTAACATCGGCATCCTGTGAGCTCTAACGCAGTAACATAGTACGTGCCCAACAAGTCTTTTAAGAAATTGTGCTTGTCGATCTACCGGCGGTCCCGATCAGGTTTTGGAGAAAGAGGCGAGCGAGCTTTCGCTCCATGGCTCGTCTTGAACGAGCTGACAGTGGTCACGACCACGCAAAGGAAAGACACGATTGCCACACTAGAGGAGCTAACAAAATGACAGAAAAAACGCTCCAGGATAAGCGTCATTTTCCCCCCGGGTATCCCAATCGCTCCGTTTTTAATCGGCTCAAGTGAACACTTCGAAAATCTTCAAAGAGGTTTTTCTGTGCGAACTTAAACTGAAACTTTAATTCTTTATATAAGATCAGCAAGGTCTTCTCCTTCCGCATCTGTGTGCCTGCGATCCAGAGATGCAGGATTACTGATTAATACTACCTGTATGACAGTCACGCCGCAAGGATTAATATATACACTAAATAACCATGTGTGGGCTTAACATATCCCAGGAAGAGTATTGCGCTTAGCTGTTCCAGAAAGTCCTCTTCAGCGGAGACCATAAACACATAAACGGCCAACCCCCGGCCCGCTGGCAAGGGGCCAAGCGAGGGAGAGAAGAGGACGAGAGGGAGAGAGGGGCTCTCCAGTCTCCACGAACACCGGGGCGAGCAGGAGATCGGACAGCCTCCCCGCCACGCACACGCACGCGTACGCGCCGGGACGGCAGCGCCATGGGGCCCCCAAGTCCCAGCGAGGAAGAGGAGGAGAGTTTAGAGCCGACCCGGGACGGCCCGGCCGCCTGCACCTTCGAGCAGATCCTGGACGCCATCGGGCACTTCGGGGCATACCAGAAGCGGGTCTACCTGGCCCTGTGCTCCCTGACCGTGCCCAGCGCCTGGTACACGCTGTCGCAGGTCTTCCTGTGCGCGCTGCCCGACTATCACTGCAAGGTAGGACACAGCGCCGCGGGACGAGAGTAAGCCTGGTATTGGCGTGTCGAGTACTTCTACCGCTAGGGCTGGTGAAGTCGCTTCTTAGCTCTCCCCTGGCGTGTGCGGCGCAGCGGGGCTGAGGAGCGACGCCAGGCGGAAGCTGCTCTCCAGCGCACGCAGGCGTGGACGTGGGTCCCTTCCTGTCCGCGGAGCGCGCTGGGCCCACGTGCGAAGAGGAGCACTGCACACGCAAGCCATGGATTTGACTTGTTTATAATAATAACAACAACAACAATAACAACAAGGGCACGTCCACCACCAATTCTGGTTAATAATGAAAAGAAGAGTGTTTAAGAACGCCATGCACAGAGTAATAAACGTAATTCCTAAGAAGCAAAAACAACTTTCTCAGAAGATATTGATATGCCACACTTGACATAACAATCACAAAGGGGGAACGTTTTCTTAGTGATTTGTTTGGCTGGTTTTATTTTAGCACCTGTATCAACTCACTGACAGGCTGTATTTATTGTTTTTAAATCTGGAGTTCATAGTGCCTCCTCAATAAGTCACCAATTCTCTGCCATCAGGCAGTGAGTTCTTCACAATAATAACAAACCTTTGGTCTTCCTGGCACACAAACAGCATTACCCTGCAGCCTGCCCTCGTCACACCTCTGGCAACTGGTTACATTTTACACACCCTAATTCAAACCTTCAAGCCCTTCTCAGCTGGGTCCCAGTCCAGTTAGCGGAACTGGTCAGCTGCGTGTGAAGACGGGGAGCACCTGTATGTCACCAATCAATTCATCATGTAGCCTGTTCAGTGAGGAGAACTCTCCGCCTGGGCTCCTGGGCCTGCAGGTGGAACCAGTCAGATTCCAGGTCCCAAAGAGCTCCGAAACGAGCAAATCACCTGCACTACTGAGCACATTGACATGGCTCTAGATCTCCAGAAGGTGGTTAACGTCTCCACACTAGGAGCTGATTCTGGTCTGTGGTGGAGAGACGCAGGCCTTAATCATACGCAAAATTAAAGTCTCGTTCAAAAGCCGGGTTTTCTTCGGGTGTTGTGTTGAATCAGGGCTGCTGGATCCACAGGTTTTCAGTTCAGCTTAACAGCCCCTCCCAGCTCTCCAGGTGCTGCTGCTTTAAAGAGACCTGGAAAACCCCCAGAGCCACCTGCCCCCAGGATGAGAATGTCACCATCAAGACAAAGGTCCCTAGAGAAGCAGCAGCATGTGATTGTACACCTGTTCAGGTGTCTGCCATCTTACCTCAGGCATGCAGTTGATCCACTGTTGTTGCTTTATTTTGTTAGGAAACATCACATTCCATAGATCAGGCAGACCAGGATGTGAAGGAGGGAGTCTAACTTGACTCCTATAGGTGGCCAGTGATAGGTCAGCACATTGATGTGTAGACGTATTTTACTTGATTATTTTACTTGGCAATCGAAGACACTTTGGCTTTAGAAACCCTACTGTCAAGGTGATCACCAGAAATGCAATAGTGTGCTGAAATTCCCAGGTTGGATTACAACACCCTCGCTGGTTTGAATAAAGTCTGTTGTGCAGAAATGTGTGCAGTGACGTTAATTATTTTCTATCAAGCCAGAAAGATTCAAGACGTGTCTCACGCACAGTGTTCTCAATAGGGATTTCTTGTCTTTAGCGTGAGACACGGTGTTGGGTCCCCCTACTGGAGGAAATCAGAAATGCACCAGGATGACTCGAGAACAGCTCGAGTTATTCCAACCCCAGCAGCCAATCACACAACTGAGCTGATTTTTTCTTTCCACAGGCCCGACTAAATTAAAGATGGAGTTATTTACAGAATATCTCGGAGCCAGTTTAGAAGCACATGCAAAGGAACAGGTAAAGTAGTTCAGGTGGGTAGCTGCATCACCTTGGCCTACTGCCCCATCTTTCTCACACCTGAAGAAGGCTCTACGGCCGAAATGTTGTGTTTTCTTTCTTCTCTTTTCAGCATGGAATAAACCTATTACTTGTTACGGAACAGGTAAAGGTTTACTCCATGCTGCAAGGGAAAGAAAAGAAAAAAACAACATTTGTGGAGCCTTCCAGCAAGAAACAAAACCTTTACCTGTTTCCTTGCAGCCTACGCGTGCTGATGCAGCTCCCTACTTGAGCGTCTTGCACATATGCAGTTATTTAGACCAATCCAGTGAAACAAAATTCAGACACCGGACACCCCTGCGCAACCAGAAAAGACGGGGCTGGCCCTCTTTGAAGTCGTTGTCCTGATATAAATTGCGCGGCACCGAGCCTCCATTTCCATGGCGGGATAAACCGGTGCCTTCATGTCCGATGTGTGGTCCGATGTCGCTCTAGGTGCAGGCTGACGAGATCTCATTGTTCCCCGGAATCACAAACATGAGTGAAGAGCGTCTGTGGAACATCACCGTCCCACAAGACTCCTCCCGCCTGGGAAAATACTCCTGGAGCGAGTGTCACCAATACGACATTGCGCAGGTAACCGACCCAAGCCTGGCTCCCTGTCTCCCAGACTGTTTCCCTCTTCATGTGCATCGAGTTTTCTGTGATGTCTTCTCTTCGCACCCCCCTGCATTTATCTTCTCCCGGGTCCTGGAGAGGCTAAGCTGGTGGAAGTGCTCACACAGAGTACAGGGTGATTCCTACGGTCAAGGTGTGGTTGGTTTGAGCCTGGGTTATGTCCAGAGCTGACTGTACCCAGGATTCCCCAGGTAGTCACACACAACTGGCACTGTGATGGTCAACAAGATCAAGAGCTGGCGATTCTAAACTGAGTGGACGTTAAGTTCTATTATTGCGGATTTTTACATTTTTATACTTATAAGGGTTATGAATCTCCTCCCTTTCCTGTTTTTCTTTCTGAAACACAGGTCAATTTATCTTTCAGTCCAGAGGAGTGGGCTGATCCGGCCAGCAACAATTATTCCCTGGTGCCCTGTCAGTCTTGGTACTATGACAAGTCAGTGTACTTCAGCACCGTGGCGACTGAGGTAAGGTGCAGTACACCTTCCAGAGGATGCTGACCCTTGCATGTTCCAGGAATAATTAACGGCAGCTATCTTTTTGGTGGACACACAGTGGAATTTCCTAGCCAACCACTCATTAAAACTACTGTAACGACTTGTTAATGATTTTTCTGATGCAAACTGGCCTTTCAGAGCTCTGCTACAGTCGTGTCATGTGCTCTACCCCTGTGCTTTAACTTCCACGTATGTCAGAGGTTCCCCGCCTGGGTCTGAAGACCCCCATGCCTGATGAGTTTCATTCCAGCTGAGCTCTCGGCCACATTGACCCAACAAGAGGGCAGGTTTCCACTCTGGAGCTGGTTCCTGTTCCTGAACCAGTTGGGAGTTGTCCTCTTAACTCACGCTTTGAATGCGACTGTGAAATCTCTAACTTTTGAGCCAGAAAAATAAAACGTCCAGAGGTTCCAGTCAAGCAGCTTGCTGGTTCAATTAATGATTCGATTGATTAAAACATTAAAACGCAGCATATGCGTGGGTCTGCAGTCCAGAATGGGGGGGACCCCCTGCCTTATGCATTCAGATGCCAGAGCCCTTAACCCTGCTGGAAATAGACTCTGCAGCAGCAGGCATGTTTTGCAAGACGAAAGGGTCTTGTTAGTGTCTATTGGCTTTGTGAGAAAAGGGAAAAAGCGCAAAGAGGAAATCCGCTTCCTGACACCCGTGGGGATGGGGAGAGTTCAGTGCGTCCCTTCTCTCCCGCAGTGGGACCTGGTGTGTGAGCGCAAGTGGATGAGACAGCTGGACACGGCCTTCTTCATGGCCGGGTGTTTGGTGGGAAGCAGTCCGCTGGGGTGGCTGTCCGACAGGTGAGCCGGTGCGTTTCTTCCTGCTCCTGCAGGGACAAATCACAGCCGCGGCTCTGCAGCTCAGGGGGAGAGCAGGCTGCGCAGATGCCGAGCCTAATGGCTCAGCGGGCAGTGTGGTTTCTGTGTAGGGAGCCGGGGGCAGGAAAGCACCCGCGTACGCCAACTGCCCAGACCACGGCAGGGAGAGCGCGGGGATTTGGGCTGGGCCTGGAATCCTCTCGAGCCCTCGCAGGAGGATCCGATTGGAACTAGTCTTCCACTGGCTCGAGCACCACGCTGGTCTGTAGGCCACGCTAGCCCCAAGACACACCGCCCGTCGGTTCACAAGTTTGTAGATGTTCGTGTGTGTGTGTGGTTAGGATCCAGTAGCTGTTTTTGTTCAGATTTCAGTCTTGCACCGCACCTTGAAC